AATATTAATTATATAATACGTATAGTTATATAAGCACCTTATATAATTAGCAGTTTAGCAAGTTATATTTCAGATTATCTTTCCCCTCACTTTTCCCTACTAGAGGAGGAAACCTACAAGCAATAATAATTAGAGTTATTATAATATATTAATTCCCTTATTATTATCTATATAATTAAATACCTATAAATGCNCTTAGGATTATCACCTTTTATTATAACATAAGCCTATCTATAACCCTATACTATATAGGCGCATATACCACACCCCTGAATACGCTTATACCTATACTAACAGTAGCTACTACTGCTATATATATAATATTTTGTTAATTTATACCTTATTATTAGTAGAGTGCTTTTTTTACCTCTAAGTGTGTTACTAGAGTATATATACTATATTAAGCTCTTACTATTATAATAAACTACTATATAGTAAAGAGCTCTTATATAATAATTACTTATATATATATATATTATAAACTAATATTAAGATAAATTATAAGATAATTACTTTTATAACTAGCTTTATTATATACTAAGTTTAGAAAGTATACATTTTTAACTTTACTTCTTATTACTATTTTAGTATAACCTAGTAGTATATACCTTAAGCTCTTAAAGAAGAATTATATTACTATATAGAGGACTAATATCTATAAATACTACTTTAGGGTAACTTATAATAGTTTATACTTAAGCTAGAGGGTTATAGTAAAAAAGTTATTACTATATCTCTTTATAAGATAGGCTTTAAGTAAGCTAAATAGACTTAAAAGATTAAATATATTAAAGTAAATAGGTATACTTATATTATTTTCTATTATTAGTATTTTAAATATTAACTTAACCTTAAAGATTAAGAGTAAATACTTCTTACTTTTTCTAATAAGATATAGGCTACTAATAGCTTTATATAGAAGTAATAGATATTAATATATAAAATAGAGGATCTTAAACCTTAGGCTCTCTTATACTAGAAACTTTATAGTTAGATACTATAAGGGATAATCTATAGTATTAAGAAGGGCTCTACTTTTATATAAGAAAAGGAATATAGTAATATTAATACTAAGAAGTATATTAAGTATATTTTACTTTTTATTAGGGATTTTATATATATTTATCTAGGTATGATTTTTTAGTAGGATAATACTATAACTTATTAAGTGAGGTTTATAAAGGATTAGTTATTCTAGAATAATATTAAAACTATTAATTAGCTACCTAAATTACTTAATCTATTACTTATTAAGAACATTTAGTTTTAGATTAAGTATTAAATTAAGCTTAATTATAATCTTAAGGACCTTAATCTTTTAGTATTATATATAGTAATCCTAGAAGGCTAGGAGGTAGTATTTTATAACTTCCTCTTTATATTAGTTTACTTAATACTTAGAAAGTTAGTAGAGTATATATACTATAATAGAGAAATAGTCCCCTATTAATATAATTAAGAGTAGAGGGGTTAGAGTATTTACTTATTTAATAGTAGAATTAGTAGAAACTAGTATTTTATATAGATATATTTATTTAGTAGAGAATATACGCTCTTTTATAGTACTAGTTATACTAAGTTAACCTCCTGGTTGCTTATATTAATTCTGACCTACAAAGTACTGCACTAACCTTTAAGACTGTGGGATAGGTGTAGAGCGGCGCGCTGTGGGTCAACTAGGTGGGAGCTCTAGAGTTTCGGCAGCCCCCAACGTTGGCGGCAACCCTCCAAGCTCCGTCGGCTCCCAACACCACCTACCATGACACTTGACGGCCGCCGTATTCCCGATTCCATCCTCTCCCATCCCTCACTGTTTCTCGCTCGCGCTGCACAGCACATTGTAGGACTTCATTGTCGCATAAGCCCCTGTCTGAAAATGAGGCTTCTTGATTGAATCTAGCAGCGGCCATGATCAGAGCAGTGTCTGTCTGGAGTGCGAAAAAGGAAACCTGTACCCCGGCCCGGCGAGCCTCCGCGTACGCATTCGCTCCCGACGACATACTGCCATTGCAACGGCAACGCTGCAGCGAACACAGAAACTATCGACTGAGGACCTCGTCGAAATGTATTGGCCCATAGGGACCCCCAGAATTTTCGCCACGAGCAGCAGGTCTGGTCCTTCGTTCAACCTAGTGGTCTCCCATGATGGCCTACCCAGCCCCTTCGACAGCCGGTCGCGAGGCGATCTCTCTCCAACGTCAAACCTGACTACTCGATCGACACCGCAACATGACGATGTTGAGCTTGCCACCCCGCTGACACCAATGACACCCGCCATCCAGTCAGTTGATGACGACGCCCACGACCCAAACAATTGGCATTCATCGCCACGCCTCAACAACAATATTCCTCTGAAAGACCCTGTTCTTGCTCTGCGCATCTCTCGTGGTGGTCAGCTATTTGCTGTGATAACCTCGACGTCCATGACAATATGGCAAGCCAAGGTTCGTTTACCTGCCCTTTAGGCTTCTTCCAGCGACACCTCTTCGTTTGGCGAGCCATGCTGACACATCCAAGCCTACAGTGATACTTGCCGTCGTCGTCCGCTCTGAAACTTCTCTTTCGACATACGGTGAGAACGTGGATTTACTGTTGCGACCCGACTCAGCCATTCTTGTCGTTCGAACGACCTTGGGCTACCTCATCACATACTCCCTTGCAACAGACTCCGAGGCTCAGGTTTACAAGCCTTATTTTCCGAGCTATGCAAATGTTCAGCGACGTCGCCAAAATCACCATGGGGGGCCCGGAAGCGCGGCGCCAGACCAAATTCTGTGGGGTCCCGGTGAGGGTCAAGGGGTTCGCGACGTAAGTGTCCGCTTTAGGATGGTCATCAAAGTCGACGCCGGCATTGAAAGCGCGCTGGCTTTGGACGACGAGCTAGTTGTGGCCACACGAAAGCCCGCAGCTATCCAATGCATCCGGTGGACTCCAGACCATAGTGGCAGCCAGACAAAGACGGAAATAATAAGTCGAATGGGATGGTTAGAGAAGAAGATTACGATTTTGGAAATGACCCACGACCGACCCATGAACCTCTCGACTTGGATTACCAGCGACGGCAAGGTCTATGCAGTGCAGCGGTTGAACTCAAAGGAGCCATCCGAGCCAGACTCTCAGGAAGCCGACCCGAAGAAGTTATTCAAGGGCTACTGCTTTCACACGCCACATGGACCCGCGGGATTCGCCAAACGAGCAGTCGTCAACGCCAGGTTTTCTTTAATTGCCGTTGGATGCGCCGACGGTGGCATACGTGTCTATTCTGCCCGAGATTATGCTGGCAACATACCACCGTCCCACGCCCATATCATACCTGTGTCGTCGACGGTGTGCGGCTCACTGACCACTCTGAGCTACTCTCCCGATGGCTACTGCTTATTTGCCGGTTTTGAAAACGGGTGGGCTACCTGGAGTGTCTACGGGAAACCGGGCAGTCACAGCTTTGGCGCGCACGAAGCCGTAGTTAAGTCCAACGGGGAAGACTGGATTGCTGGCGTGGGCGATGCCGTTTGGCTCGGTAGTGGCACCGAGCTTCTGATCACTAATCGTCGCCACGAAGCAATCTGGGCACTAGAAATGGCCAGGAGTGCCGTTGTCAGTTGTTATAACGCGGCTAACCTCCTACGGACAGTACTTCAGACCAACACGAACGTCATGATCTACCGCGGATACGATTTGCCAGATCTCGCAAGCATTTCGGCCGAGCCGCATCTGTGGCACACGACCAAAGTGCCTCCCTCGTATTTGCTTCAGCAATGGCCCATTCGCCATACAGTCATTTCACCAGATGGTCGGTATGTGGCGGTGGCTGGACGGCGCGGTCTGGCCCATTATAGCGTCAACAGTGGTCGTTGGAAGACATTCGTCAATGAGGCCATGGAAAATGAGTTCCAAGTCAGGGGCAGTATGTGCTGGTACCAACATATACTGGTGGCTGCAATCGAGGCGAACAAGTCCCACGAGCTCCGCCTCTATTCGAGAGAAACAGCTCTGGACAGTTCGCTTGTATTACATACCCAGCAGCTGCCAGCTCCCGTAGTCCTGGTGGCCTCATCGGGGGAAGATTCGCTTCTCGTCTACACATACGAGAACTTACTATACCACTTCATCTTTGCGCCTTCGGGTGGTTCCATAAGACTGGTGCAGCTAGGACAGATCGCATTCCATGGGATTGTGCGGTCACCTGCCAGAGTACGCGGTCTTAGCTGGATCTTGCCAGATAGTCAACTTATTGATGGAGACCCGTCGCAAGATGTTGCAGTGGCGTCGGTTCTGTTTTTAGTTGATGCTAAGCTGGTCTTGCTCCAGCCATCGTTAAATCACGAAGGACATCTCAAATACGACATGAAGGTCATTGCTCAAAACGTGGAGTTCCACGTGAGCATGAGAGACCAGCCTCACTTCGACACCACTGTCATGCGCCCCGAAGAGCTTGCGTCTTCGGGCAGCGACTTGTCTTTGCGGAACTCCCTCTGGGTGTTCGATGGCCAAGAGTTTAAGCTCTGGCCTGATGTGCAAGAGGTGCTCCGGGCAGCATCGAGCGAGGCGTCTCGAGAGCTGCCGAAAACAATCTCAGTTCCGTTAGACTTTTACCCTCTTTCAACTCTACTTGGGAAAGGCATCGTCCTTGGCGTTGAAGCAGATCTTGTGCAACGAAGGGATATCAGCTTCTCCTTCTTCCGTTTTACCATCAGGGTTTGTCCAACCATAATCGGGATAAAAGAAAAACGCGTATGCTGATGATTTGAATAGACACACCTCTTCTTACCGGACATTCTGCGTTTCCTCTTGACTGAGAACCACGCTGTAGACGCAGTCAAGTTATCGGAGCAGTATCAAAACCTGGAGTATTTTGCACACGCTTTAGAGGTCTTGCTCCATAAAGTCCTAGATGACGAGGTAGATTCTGGACCAACCCCAGAAGAAGCGATCCTCCCGCGTGTGCTATCATTGCTATCGTCGTTCAAGCAGTATCTTGATATCGTTGTGCAGTGTACGAGAAAAACCGAGGTCAGGCAATGGCGGACGCTGTTCGCGTATCTTCCACCAGTCCAAGAGCTTTTCGAGGAGTCGCTTCAGCGAGGATCTCTCAAAACCGCCGGAGGCTATCTGATCATTCTACACACTCTGGATGACCTTGGCTCTGCTTCGGAGCAAACAGTCCGGCTGTTGTCGAGAGCGATGAAGGAGGGCGATTGGGAATTGTGTAAAGAGTTAGCACGCTTTCTGGCAGCCATGGACGAAACAGGTGACTCTCTCCGTGAGGCGATGGAGGGTGTCAACATAACCGTGAGGAACGATCAGAATTCGCCTGGGATGATGACGAGGCTGGGTGTTCCGGTTCCTGGTAATAGAGCCATGAACGGCTTAGGGCTCAAGTATGCAGAGCAAAGTGATGACATGGAGTCGGAAGGCCAATCGGTTAGCGATGCTGCGAGTTTTAGCTCCGACGGGCGTTGAAACATTACGCCAAATAGATGAGAATCCGGCCTGGGCTCGAATACTCGCTGCCAAATATCGAGATGACTCTCTCGTCGCGCGCAAAGCTGAGTTCAAAGTTGTTTTCCAACGGTGTGCCTAAGCCACCGTCAAGTTGCAATATCCTATGTATTTAGTCGAATTGGTGAACCAAGGTTGACTGTTTGAGGTATGTGAGTGAAGACAGCCGCAGGTACGTACCGATGGCAACCCCCGCCCCCTCCCTGACCGCAGCCCCGCTAACCGCGTTGCCCTGCAGATGGGAACATGGAGCACACCTCAGAGAACCGGCGTCAATCAACGCCCGACGAAAGACCTTTGCTGTCGACCAAACAGTTCCAGGTCAACACCCATCACCGAACCGACTGCCAGTCCACAAATCGAGACGGCGACTAGTCACTGCAACATCTCAGCCTGGCCATGCTCTAAAAGCTTGTCACGAACAAGGCGCACCTTCTTCAGTATGATGGACGACTTTGGCAGCGAGTCGGATAGCGACTATACGAGTTATTGGCGCGATTGGGTACGTGACCTCACCTTCGATTCTCCTTTCTCGTCAAAGAACGGACGGCGTCAAAACTTCTTTCTGTTGGGTCGAAGGGCTGGATGAGACTGGCATGGACTGCGACATACTTGCGCGCACGCGCGCGACTTCGGTGGCCGCACGATCAACGTTATCCATCGTCGCAATCCCAGCGCAGCCACCATTCGAAATAGCATGTCTGCTAACTGCCAGTTTCCAAATAGTTCATTTCTTCTCGCGGAAACGAGTACTTCTGCGAAATCGACGAAGACTACCTCACAGACCGCTTCAACCTGACGGGACTGAACACGGAAGTTCAATACTATCAATATGCGCTCGATCTCATTACCGATGTCTTCGATCTCGACTGCGATGACGAAATGAGAGAGACAATCGAGAAGTCGGCCAGACACTTGTATGGCCTCGTTCATGCCCGGTTCATCGTCACAACGAGGGGTCTTGCTAAGATGGTACGCTTGCCTATTCTAACGGACCTGTTCAGCGAGGACAGCTCCTTGGCCACCTGGGCGACATCGCTGACGTGAGAAAAACATAAAGCTCGAGAAGTACAAGAAGGCGGACTTTGGCAAATGTCCACGCGTCATGTGCCACTCCCACCCGCTCCTGCCCATGGGTCTCTCCGACGTCCCAAACCTGAAGCCGGTCAAGCTCTACTGTGCCCGCTGCGAAGACATCTATAACCCCAAATCGTCGCGTCATGCGGCCATTGACGGTGCATACTTTGGCACCTCCTTCCACAATATCATCTTCCAGGCCTACCCAGCCCTGATCCCCACCAAGAGTGTCGAGCGTTACGTCCCCCGAGTGTACGGCTTCAAAGTTCACGCCTCGGCTGCGCTGATTCGATGGCAACACCAGAAGAAGGACGAGATGCGCCGTCGCCTGCGGAAGATGGAGGTGGATAGCGGGTTCCGCGACGATGATGTTCTAGAGGACGATGATGATGTCGAATTTGAAGGTGTCGATAACCGTGCGGTGGGTGGCAACGACGGTGTTACCATAGCTTGAAACAACGAGCCAGCGATCACGTCAAGGGGCTGACGGTGCCTTTTCAGCGTACGTGACGGTCGAGGTGCTCGTGGATGTGCCACGCCAAGCACTAGGCGGGCTCTACTCACTTAAGGCTCTTCTTACATTTTTCTCTCGCGTCGATAGATTTGGTCCATGGGATAATGACATTACGGTATTTTCATGCTTTATTTTACTGCCTGCCTTCGTGGCCGGGTCAGGTGAGGCAGTAGCGCAGTCGCTTCTCGGGTTGACATCTCCACGCAACGCAGGAAGAGTACCTTTAGTGTCTAGAGGATCAACAAGCCTCATAGAGAAGAGCACAATTTTACGTGTGTTGCAAGTGCATGGCTTCGCCGGAAGTAGGGAAGCGTCGTGCGCTTGTCGATTCACAGGTAGTCAACGTTGTCACATGCGGCATGCAGTAGGCGACACTTCCAAAGGTAGGTATTCTTTTCATTCACGAGTCTATTCCATAACCGGTCGTAATCTGTATGCCACACCGGGCCCTCACAATAACAAAAACAAAAGACCATTACCGCCGCCGAGCTGATCTAGGCAGGTGGTATACCGTAGAACTCCAATCATGCCCAATATGCCGGGTGGAAAAGTGCAATGGATCCCGCGTGCCCGTTTTTTCACCCATGAGAAAAGAATTTAAATCAGAACCTGTTTTCTGGGCCAGAGCCATCATTTGATGCAGGCTTGCCAACGTATTGCGTGGATGTCGCCTGGCCAACGGGTTGCGACATGTATGCCTCCTCCTCATCGCCCGACCGAATGAAGTCGCCTTTCTCTGTCGCATAGCTGTAGGACCCAACCCCGGACCACCATGCCTTGTCATGGCTACGAGGACCCCAAGCCCATCCGGCACCCTGGCGGATGGGAAGATGATAATAGCGGAAAGCGAAGATCGAAGTGAAGACGCCAATGAGGTAGCCAAACAAGATGTCGAAGCCATGATGCCGGAAGTCGAACCAGCGAGACCCTGCGATGAAAATGGATCCGAACCAAGGGAGGACGACAATCGTCAAGAGGTAGATAGGGGGCGCGGCAGCCTGGCGGCGGACAGCTGTTACGATCTTGTTGTGCTCGGCAAGATTTCTAGCGACAGCTGACGTGTCAGGGTTGAGAGAGCCTCCCTCGCCCGATCGCACTTCCTCGTAATCAGAGCTCGATTTCTGGAGGCGAGAAGGAAAAGCCGAGTGAGACGAAGCGTCGCTGTTGGTAGCAACGAACGGCAAGGTGACGGCAAATTTACTGGCAAGAAACAGCGATAGGTATATCAAACCGGCGGCGGCGGAGCTAGAGTGACCGGAGGGGTAGCTTCGAAAGCCGTCGTCGAGTGTGTGCTTGTCGGTGTTTGTGCAGATGTCTGCGGATACGAGCTGTCCAAAGCCAGCTGCGCCAGTAAGGCCGGTGATGCTGGCATTGGTGCCGCCAACAACGTACTTGGCGAAATTTTCCAGATCAGGCCGACAGCGGGAGAGAAGATCGGGTCGAGGCTTTCCAAACATGTTCTTCATGCCATTCGTGATGAACCAAGCACCGCACATAGCCAACGCGAGCCCAAGCCAGCCTACGTGCAACTCCCACAGCTTGCGCTTCCAGATGAGGGCGTTTGGGGTGCCCTTAGGAATCGTATTTCCGGGAACAAGAACGAGGCAGACGATGGCGATGATGATGATGGGAACGAGAACGGCGCAGATGGCGGCGAGCCACATTGGGACGGTTTCGTGCTCGGTGAAGGGAAAGCTTGTGATCAGGTCAGTACAAGCGGAAGTAGAGAAGACGAGGCGAAGTATTCCTACGAGATGTTGGGGTCGAGGACTGAGAAGGGGCGTTTGTTTGGAGTTACGATTCCCAATACGCCGCCAATGCCAGCAACGACGAGCAAGACGAACCAATCGAAGACATAGGAGCCGATCAAGGAGGGAGTCCAGTGGGAACGGGGAGACCGCAGTGAGCGTCTTTCATACGGTGTGGGTGACTCGGGCATCTTGTAGTATGACGGCCTCGACGAGGGCGAGAGGTTTGCGAGGGGGATAGAAGTGGACATGAGGGGATGAAGAGTAGAAGTAGTGAAGGAAGGTCGAGAAGGTCATCCGGATGGGGGTCCAAGCTACTTCAGGTGAACCCGGAGGAAGTTAGGGAAGGTACCTGAGGCCCTCTTCAGTCTAAGTCTCTTTGGTACGAATAAGGGAAAGATGAAAGAGAGTTTAAGTGCTGGGTATGGGTGTGGGATGGGAATGGGGAAGGGATCCGCACAAGCGCAAACGAGATGTTTGGGTGGTGGACGAGGCGTGCAGCTTGAGGGCGGCAAGGCGGGCGCGGATGCGGATGCGGATGCGGATGCGGTGCAGGCGAGCTGAAAAGTTTGGGATGGCTGGTGGCGGAGGGACCACAGCACCGGGGGGAGGGGGGTGGGCAAGTGATATTCCGTGAAGCAGAAGAAGGACAGGAATCAAGGATGAGGGAGGAGTGCAAGTCAAGACGCGAAGAGGAACCCTTTTGCAGCGCGCCCAGAGAAAGCGAGACACGCTCGATGACGGGCAGTGGTCGAGAGACCTGGAGGAGAAACCCCAGTGGAACTTTGTGCCTGGGATGCTGTTCGGCACCGGTCCAGCAAGGATGCAATGGGCGGGCAAGGCAGGGCAGGGGATATGTTTCGTGTTACAGAGTGTTGGCCCCTCTGTTGTATGATGTGGAAGAGACAAGAAGGCAAGCGGATCTCGCCCAGAGACGCGATACTAGCACACAATCCAAAAAGGGATGAGCAAGAATGACGGGAGACAGAGAACCTAGGAGGTCGGAGACTCGGAGTGCGACCACCCTTAAACCATCGGCGGCACGCACGCTGCGCGACGGATGTAGTAAGCAGTCGCGTGGCAGTGCCGGTCGTACCTTAGTTCAAGGCACCTCCAGGTCGCCAGCAGGGCTCATCCGTACATCCGCGCCTTCGCACCCTCGAGCAACGTCGCCAATCCTTTTTATCTTTAGAAAATCTGGCAAGGTGCTGCCTTCTTTCCACCCTTCAACTGCTGCGGCACGGCGTGTCAAACAGACAGCCCAGCCCAGCCTTACCGTGGAGAAGGGCGCTCGCGCCCAAGTTCATCCTTACATTGGACGTACAAGTATGCGCTTCCCAAACCTTCCAGTGGTTGCTGACTTGCAAATGCAGGGTCTGAGGAGCTGCCACCAGTTTTACGCATAGAATATTTCGTAGACACGTACATGAAGGGACCTCTACTGTCAATGCCAGCTACTGGGGAACATGTCGTCTGGACTCGGGGGGGCAGCTGAGTAGGCCCTAGACCGGCGACCCGTTTGGGCTGATGCTGTCTTCATCTTCTTCATCATCATCATCATCATCACCATCGGAACCCGAGGACCGTTGACATCCACACATTTGACCCTAAGAAATAGCCCAGACCGGCAAGACGGCAGTCGAGTCGAGTCGCGGTGTTTGAGAAGGCGCCTGAGGGAGCCTATTGAGTGCAACCAGTGAAGATCAGTGAAGAGGCCCCGCAGGCACATGCCCCGCAAAAGTGCCGTGTTAGCAGCACGACCTACGGATACCTATTCTGTACCTACCACCACCCAGGTGAGGTGTGGATACCTAAGGAGGCAAATGTACGGATAGGTACTCGTATGGTTGGTTGGCTCGCCTGTGCCCAGGGTGGCTTGGCTCTTGGCCGTGGAGAAGAAGAGACACAGATCCTGTCACTTCTGACTATGCCAAGCAGCTCGTCAGCTTCACTTGCCTCAATCTGCAACCGATCCCAATTCTCAGTCTCATCAGTCGCCCGGAAGAGCGACCGAGCCTTCATGTGAAGGCATTAGGATGCTGTGTATGTACAGTGAATTATGTGCATATTTCACGTTGCAGGACAGAGCATCCATCGTGCGCCTGTCATTACCACAGACAGCACTCGCACTCCCTCACGGATACGCGCCCACACCGAACGTCTGTAAACCTTCCTATGCTGCACTCCTCCCGACTTCAGGTCATCTCATATTACAGTAGTTCTTCTTGGCACTGACGTCAGCAATGTACATGCTTTTGTACGAATACTGGTAGTTAAAACGGAGAGCTATTGCAACAACAAGCAAGACCGGCACTACACATACGATGCCACGGCTGTCTCGGACTCTGCAACGACTCACCGTACGAGGCGCAATCGCCTGCTCGCACACTACGCCCTTCGACGTATGATGGACGTGGGCGCAGTCATGGTGGTGACGAAGAATTAGCCAGACTGCCACATCTACTGCTGCTGCTGCTCCTCCTTCCCTCGGCCTCCTTCTAGTGCTACAGGTACGTGTCTATCACCAAGTCGTCCCCTTTCCATCGGCTTGGCATTCATGGCATGTGTCAGACGACATCTCCACGCTGTTCTTCCCATCAATCTTATTCGTCCCCTTTGGTTGATGACTGAAGAGCCGAACCCCCAATCGTCTCTTAACCAACCGCAAATGGCCATTTAGATCCTGGCAAGCATGTCTGCCCAATCATACGCCACTGGGAGGGGGAATTGGCTTTAATCGAGGAGACTAAAGTAAAGGAAGGCACAAAAAAAGGATGAATTTTTCAGTCGAAAATCAGTTCTTAGGTCCTTGTTTAAAACTACCCGCCGCGAGCGGTAACGCAGGTGGCACAGAACTCTCCGATTCGCCATGGCTCCGTACATACCCAACTCCGAGGGGGGTCCTCCGGCGACTTCACGGCCGCAGAAGATTGGGCTTTCGACTCAACGAACGATACCTACTCCCGGGGCAAGACACGGACCCGGCACGCTCGGCCCCGCCCGGCGTGCGGACAACAGCATGCTCTTCCGCTCCGCTATCCATTCCGAATGAATCTCCCTAACGACCATTTTCATGAACCGCTGAGTTGGCGACTTGTAGCTCTGTCTCCGTCGGGTTTGGGAACATTGTATTATTGATGTCCCGAACCTCGTCTTTGTGCCGTAAAGCCGAATTGGCCACCTGACAATTCCTCTGCCTGATCGTTGCAGAAGCCACCGTCAGCCCAGACAAAGCACAAGATTCCCACAGCGCCGTTGATCCTCATCCGTGATTTTTTACCGCTCAACCGGTCGCCCAACTAACATGATATTGTCTCTCGTCTGCAATGTGCTTGCTCATCGGTTTACGGCTCAACGCTCTGACAGCCATATCCTCGCCTTCCCGGCTTTGGAGATGTTTTCTGGTATTATTTCGTGTTCTTTGCTGCGGTTATGATCCAAACGCGATTTTGCCCGAATAGTCCACAGCGTCGATGCAGCCGTCTGCTTTCTCCCAGGCGTACAAAAGAAAACACACCGAAAGGAGAAAAAGTCATAGTAGCATTGCCCATGCATGGCTTGGACCTGTGCACACGGTCCTCCGAAGGAGCATCCGCTAGCCGTCTCCATGCCCACTCAGTTCCCGCCCATCCATCCTGATTCTCCCTTTAGCCCCAACCTCTTGCGACGGCGCCAGCGGTCTTTGCGGGATTGGAGCCCTTCAATACTCTGGGAGCGCCTCATCCGTATACGATGTGGTAGTCGTGCTGAGCTTGATTCTAAGCTTGACATAGCATCTAACTGATTCTCAAACATTGACCCCCTTTGCGCCGCCATGACCAAAATACCACCTCATCCTCTTCCTTCTCAAAGCTTCTTCCGGCTCACCGGCCTGTCGATCTACATTTCCTTGTTCTTGGGGCGATTCTCTCAACCCATATAAGCCGGCGAAGCCGCCGTGTTTCTTGGCGTATTTTTGGAAGGCGTCCCAGATCGCAGCTTTCACTCGCCATATCATCAGCCTCGACATTCGTTCTGTTTCTTGGCTATCATTACCGCTCTTATTAGCGAAGGATGACGTCCACGCTCGAGTTCCTCGTGCTTGCTCTGGCACTGCCGTTAGGGATCTTGGCCTCGCCATCTTTTATTCTCTCTAGAGCCGTGTCCCCAGACAACACATGCGGAACAACTGGCAATGGAGGCAACCCGTCCGCATTCTCTTGTCCAACAGACCTTCCATGCTGCTCCGTGAATGGATGGTGTGGTAGCACCGACGACTACTGCCTGACTTCCAACGGCTGCCAAGGCCAGTTTGGCACTTGCACGCAGGACGGCAGCCCACCGGCCGGCGGAGACGGCGGTGATGGGTCTTCGGGCAACACGCAATGTGGTCCTGACAATGGAAACGCAAGTTGCGCATCAAACGAATGCTGCTCCGCTGTTGGGTTAGTGATGACTGTATCCTCGGCGTTTCTCATAGCTAACCTTGCTGCTAGATACTGTGGAACAGGCCCAGGTGAGAACTACACCGATGTTAATGGAAATGACACCTGATTCTAACAATTTTCCAAAGACTACTGCAGAGCCCCGGACTGCTTATTCCAGTTTGGGCCGGCGTGCGATGCTAACCAAGTCCCTTCGGGTCAAAACACCTCCAGCATCGCCCGTCCTCAGCTTGGTCAGGTTGCATATGGAGGTCCTGGGGTTTACAGCTGCGCGAACCCAGGAGACGTTGCTCTGACTTTCGACGATGGTCCGGACAAGTACACGTCTGATCTTCTGGATCTTCTCAAACGGTACAACGCTTCGGCGACCTTCATGGTCACAGGCAACAACAACGCCAAGGGCGAGATCGATAACACGACCCTGCCTTGGGCGAACATCATCAAGTAGGCAGACAACTCGATATCCCTCTCGTTGTTAGCTTTTTACTCATATTGTATAATAGGAGAATGTACAGCGAGGGTCATCAGATTGCCAGTCATACATGGTCCCATGCTGATTTGGTAACTCCTCTACCTAGATCCCCTCCGCTCAATTGTCATACTGACAAGACATCCTTTGGTAGTGCAACATCACTTCGGCGCAGCGCAAGGATGAGATGTACAAGCTGGAAATGGTTTGTTCTGCGTCAATTGAGGATGAATTCGTTAGCTGACCGTATTTGCCGCAGGCTCTGCGAAACATCATTGGTGTCTTCCCTACCTACATGAGGTAAGTTGCTCATGTCACGCGCTTGTGGATGATTCCCCTGACCTCGTCTTCTCCCAGGCCCCCTTTCTCCTCATGCAGTGCCGAGTGCGGCTGCGAGGATGACATGGCTGCGCTGGGCTACTCTGTCATCTATTTCGACCTGGATACCCAAGACTACCTTCACGATAGCCCAACAGAGATTGCCCAGTCCAAAACAATCGTCGACCAGGCCATAGCCGCCAAGCCCGCTGCCAGCGACAACTTTCTCGTCATTGGCCATGACATCCATCAGCAGACGGTGTACAACCTTACAGAGTATATGCTTCAGAAGTTCCAGGGTAAGCAAATGGTTACCCTTGGCGACTGTCTCGGAGACCCTAAGGCAAACTGGTACCGCGCCGACACCCGCACCACTCTTGGCGCTTGAGAGAGGATCAATGATGCCTCATAGATGTGGTTCGTTGTTGAACCACCAATGTTGAGTAGTGTAACGTAGTGTGAACTAATGGTAATTGATATACAACGGTTCGAGAATTTGTTTGTTATCCGTATGCGGGTGCATGTTGCTCGCATGTCGCTCACATGTCGCGACAGAAACACTCACCGCAGTTCCACTCAAACAACCAGGCGACCTGCAGGCTCGAAGTACCTTGTGCCGAGAGTCGACCAGCTGTGACGAGGGTCTCAGGGTGTTTACCCATGTATCCACAAAAATACACCTAGGTTGCCGGAAGTACCGCGTCATGTGCGATGAAGCAAGCGTTGCCCGGTTCCCGGGAGCGGCCCAGAGTCAAAATAACGTCGCGCATGACATACAACCAGAGCATTCGCGCACCGAAGTCCGGTCAAGGCGAGGACCGCGTATGAGCATAGATCGTTGCGAGACTCGACGATTAGCGCAATCTCCCTCCAACGGAGTCGATCGCCTTCACGTCTTCAAGGATCGCTTGTCTTGAGCCAGAAAAAAAAAGCAATGCATTTAGTGACCCTTCCCTGAACCAAGCATTCTCCGAACAGATGTATGTACAATTTTTGCACGATAGCCCTCGCTCATCCCCCAACTTCCATTTACGACCCATTGCCATTGGGGCCCTCCCCTCCAAGGCCATCTTCCAAAACACCTCTGAACTTGAGATGCGATGAAGCGAGACGCCCTGCCGTCGGGCTGGCTTCGCCTGAAAACGCATCACCAAAGGATCCCATGCCTTGCCAGCCCACTGGAAAGACAAGGGTCAACGAACTCCAGCCATACCGTCCGCTTCGTGATATCCTTGACCTCTGACTCCATGCGCCATTCGTGAGACAAGAGCACGAAGTCCCCAATGCACTGGAAAATGTATAACCGACAACAAATAGCAGCACAAAACAGCTGCTAGTATCTGACAATGAGTCTGAACAATGTGACCCGGAAAAAACAAGTAATAAAGACCTATCATCCGCCCCAGAAGCCCGCGCGCGTATTGTTGCTATAGGTTTGTGGAGTTTGGAGGAGCGTGACGAGAGGATGTGGCTTGATGCACTACCATAGTGCTGATCGTCGATCTATGCATTCGTAACAGTGGCCGTAAACGCTGATGCTCATCCAACTGCCCTGGTCTAGGGTATCCTGTGAAATCAGAACCTGTTCCAAGACTCGAAAATCGCACATGTCGCTAGTAGTCATCATCATCCTCGGGGTAGTCGCCCTCCCGGGCGGAAATCTGGTCCAGAGAGAGATGGGTGTCGACGATACCAAAGTGCGGGGCACTCTTTTTGGCCCATTGACGCGTAAGAATCGAGGCTACTCCATGTCAGTTTGCGAACCAGACAAAGCAGGTGCGGCGCAATTACCCTTGAGAAACTTCTTGCTGGCATACTTCTTGAAGAAGGCTTCGTGAACCACAGGACGCGCAAGGTAGTCGACCATGAGGCGAACTACGGGCTCAATCTCCTCCTCGTTGTAACCAGCATAGAATGCGATGGTGTCGTCCTGGGAGAGGTAAGTACAAGAAGAAATTAAAAAACCCCAGTGAGGTTGTCTGAACATACCCAGTCACCACGGTCAAGAATCAGGCGGGCCAGGTACATAGCACCGGCCGCAACGTGACTCGGACGATAAGCCATGAAACGGTGATCAAGAAGGCTGATCTCCATGAGATACTTGCCGATAGTACGGCACTGGATGTCGTAGTTATCTGCCTTGCTGATGCGACGCAAGAAGTTCATGGGGTTGGGGTAGCTGAGGTCATAGTTTAAAGTGCCGAGAACAAAACGCTCAGCACTAAGAATCTCGGCCTCACTGAATCCGTCATCGGCGACGTGGCGGAAGTTGGCGACGTGAGGTGACAGAACCTCCTCGTACTTCGAGGCAATGAACATGGCGGTGATGCCGACAAGCTGCAGGCGGTCCAGCTGTACAACCTTCTCGGAGAGGAAACGGTCAATGATGTTGATGGCAAGGAAGAGAGTCTCGGGGAGCAGGTGGAAACGAGTATGAACCTCAATCAACCAGTCGACGAGGATCCCGCGTGTCTTCCACTCCAAATCGTCTTGATGTTCCATATAGTTCGGGTTGGGAATGGAGTTGCACTCCAGATCACGGAGGTACTCGAAGATTTCGTTGGCATATTCGGCAACCATCAGAGGGTCATCTAGATCCTCCTCGTCCAGATTCTTTACTCCCTCGGGATACTCGACCAGGTCGACCTGGGCGTCTCTCGCGATGTTGGATGACTCTGGCTCTTGAGCAGAACGCTTGACGGGAGCAGCCTCAGGTTCGGGTTTGGGTCTCGACTTTTCGGACTGGGCGGTGTGGTGCTTCTTGCGGCGGGGCTCGCCATCCTCAACATTGGTATCCTTGGGAGCCGGCTGCGCCATCGCGTTAACTCGCCGCTTGACAACGCCAGATCCTGGGGCGCCGCGCTTCGGCTCGGCCTTCTTGTTGGCCTCCTTGGGCTGCAGGGCCGCTCTGGTTGCGGTCGAACGAGACTGGTTCTTGGTGACACCGGTGGGCTGAGCAGCCTTCGACACGAGGCCCACCTTGCCGGTGGCCTTCTTTCTCTCGACCGCATCTGCGTTTTTGACGTTGCTCACATCGCCGAGAGCACTGCGCTTCCCTGCAGTGGCTGCAGTGTTCGCGGTGGCCGCGGACTTCTTCGTAGGCTTTCCTGCGACAGCAAGCTCATCAACACTCAACGCGGCCGCCTTGGCACGCGTCATTCGCATTGAGCCACTGTTCTCATCATTCTCGTTTGACACGAGGCGTGTTGCACGCGTCGGACGGGGTTGCTACAGGGGATTGTAAGCGAGATGGCGACGCGATGGGGCTGCCCAGAGTTGGAGCCTTGAAGGCTACCAGAAGGAAGAAGGCGGCAGGTGCGGGTAGAACTCACTGCGGGAGGCATTTTCGTCAACTGGTTGCTGAAGATGGTGGGAGATTTGCGATGTAAGAGTCTGGGTCAATGTGGTCAGCACCAGACGCGTCGATGAGGACTGAGCCGCCACTGAGGTAAGCCCCAAGGCAGACAGACAGGATAATGAAATGATGAGCGCCACGGAAGTGTTATGGGACAACTCTTGGAGGAGAAGGCCGAGGCATTGGCCGGAGAGGAACGGCGTCGAGACATGCGCACCTTGGGAATGATGATGACAGGCGACTCGAACGCGAGCAAAGGGTTTGCTCTGGTTCGACCAAACACGGGTGGCTATGGGAGGGGAATTAGTCGCGTCGACGAGGCCAATTGGCAGAGAATCGGCGACCAGAGGGATCGAGGGTAGGTATCGGTAGGGTATCTCGAAGTTGAGAGGAGAATTAAGAGATTGGACTTGGGGGAAAAGAGGTTGTTTATGTGGGAAGAGGTGGAAAGACGGATTGTGATGTGTGTTTTTGCTGAGGTAGTGGGAACAGAGGACGTGATGTGGTATGTAGTGGGTATTGAGAACGGGGTGTTGGGGGTACGTACCTTTGGATCGCGGCTCGCGGTGACCCTGGTCTGGGTTCTGGTCACCACAGTAGCGGAGGCGCGAACGACGGACAGGGAGTGGCTTCTTGACTCTCGGTTAAGGCAGTCGCGTCTTTGTCGTGACGGGTGCCGAATGACGGAGTGGAGGTTGTCGCAATTGCAGCTGTGAATTGCTGGATGGATGTGCACACTGGAGAATGAAGTCTCTTTGTATGTTGCGGAGAGCGGTGCAAGATATGCTGCCCAGGTGGAAGCTATTAAGCAGCCTGAGTGAATCAGAACAGGTGGAGGTTGTGAATTGGCGATGCGCGTGAGGCGGGTTGGGGGTGAGAGAGTAGGCTGGACTGGTTCCTCGTTTGGTGGAAGGCAACCGACAAACAAATGGCCAAAACGATGAGTGAGGACGCGTATTGTATCTGATGAGAGAGCCTAGGGTGAGGTGTTGGCTGTTGATGAGAGGAGTGGTGGTGGTGGTGATGATGATGATGATGAGCAGGATGGTTTGGGGCAGCTGGTAACGGTGACTTGAACTTGAACTTTTGATATTGCGGTTTGGACCGAAGGTGAAGGCTCCGGGTCTGGTTTGGCGCAGTCGAGATGAAGAGGATCCTCGAAGTTCAAGGTATCTGTAAGGCAGTCGGGTCGGAGATAGTGATAGTACTATGGTGGTCGAGGCTTCTGAGGAACGTCTGGTCTGAGGAGGGAAGACCGCGGTGCTGTCTGCCAATGGAAACGAGCAGGAACCCGACGCGACTGCCCTGTCTCTCTTCGGGGCTGCACGCGAGGGCCAGGTGGGACGGGATACAGCACAAGAGAAAAAAGACGGATGAGCACTGGGGCCGCACCCCGGTCACAATAGCAATCAACACTGACAACCGCAGGGCAACCACTGCCTTATTGGCTGCCCTTCGGACGTGTGCTGGGTGGCCTACACGCTACCTGCCTACCTACAATACCTACCTTAAGTACATGCGTACTATGGTAAGGTATGTTGCAAGACAGTCACGCTTCACTGGCGACCCCACTCCACCACCACCCACGCCGTGCCGTGTTGAGTCGTCCCGTCGCGGGCGGTCCAGTGTCTGTCTACCTAAGGTAGTGTGGTAGGCCACCTCAAGCTCTCCTTAATCAGCCAGCGCCACACCTTAGTCAGTCCCACGCCAATCGTCCAGATTTCAACGCCTCACCAACACAACGTGGCTGGAGCTCATGCGGCGCCGGCAGAATTTATCTCCAAATCTCGAAATCTGCACTGCAACCCGGCCCCGTCTGCTTGGAGGAGACGAAGACATTATCCCGCCCACGCAAAGCGACGCTACGCAGAGAACTCACCTTCGATATCTGCGAGGGGGTTCTGGGTTCTATCGGTCACTCACTTGGCGGCTCTGGACATTTTGTTCGCCATCCCAACCTACTCCTTGCCTGCGCCCTGTCCGACCATGTCGCGCTGACTGGCCTCTGAAATATCAATCAGAACTTGATCATTGAAGCGACTCGATCACCAAACATTCGAACGCGACGCCGACAATATGCCTGCGCCACGTATGCTTCTGTCGGCTCAGAGAAGCCATGTCGGTCTTCTGAGCTCGCCAGCCTTCCGTGCTCTGCTCGTAAGACAATATGCCACCGTCAAAAGGTCTGCAGAAACGCCTGCTTCCGAGAAACCTAGGCAGGCTGCGAGTACGTTCGCTGGTCCTACTGCGTCCGAGAAGTCGACCAACGATTCTGCTGTAATGCGCACCTACAAGCCACGAACCCCCGGTGTGCGACATTTGAAGCGCCCTATCAACGACCACTTGTGGAAGGGCCGCCCTTTCCTGCCCCTGACCTTTCCGAAGAAAGGACATGGAAAGGGAGGACGCAACTCTTCTGGGAAAATCACCGTTAGACACCGCGGAGGTGGCGCCAAGAGGAGGATACGCACTGTCGACTTCGAACGCCGGCAACCAGGCCCGCATCTCGTTGAACGCATTGAGCATGATCCTGGCCGCAGTGCTCATATTGCCTTGCTAACAAACCAATCCACCGGCAGGAAGAGCTACATTGTAGCTTCTGAAGGCATGCGAGCCGGCGATGTTGTTCACAGTTACCGTGCTGGCATTCCCCAAGACCTTCTCGACGCCATGGGTGGTGTGGTTGATCCTGGTATTCTGGCCGCCAAGACTGCATGGAGAGGCAATTGTTTACCCATGCATATGATACCGATTGGAACTGTCGTCTTCAACGTTGGCTCCAAAGCCAAAGGCGGGGCAGTCTTTTGCCGGAGCGCGGGCACATACGCGATTGTTGTGTCCAAAGAGGAGGAGACCAAGGACGACGGAACCAGGGTCATGACGGGCAAGTATGTCAATGTTCGCCTCCAAAGCGGTGAAATCCGCAGAGTCAGCAAGGATGCCTGCGCGACAATTGGAGTTGCTAGCAACCCGCATCATCAGTACCGTCAACTGGGTAAGGCGGGAAGAAGTCGTTGGCTCAACATTCGCCCGACGGTCCGTGGTGTTGCTATGAACTCTGGTGAGTTGTGCTGTGGTTTTTGACGAAGCCATGCTGCTAGATTTGCTGACATAAATGACTTCGCAGTTGACCATCCTCATGGAGGTGGTCGTGGAAAGTCCAAAGGAAATCGCCACCCAACAAGTCCTTGGGGCACTCTGGTGAGTAGTCTGTCAATGTTTTGCCGTCGACTTTACAGGTTGCTAAATAGTTTGGGACACAGGCCAAGGGAGGCTTCAAAACCCGTCGCAAGCACAACTTCAACAAATGGGTTGTCGAACCCAGAGCCCGCAACATGGGCAGGAGGAGGGACAAGAGTTCGGCTTAATCTGGGAACATTCGTTGTCGGTCACAGCCTGTGAAGCAACACGAGCGCTGGTATCAAGCATATCGAATGTGAGCTTGATCTCTGTGTTGTAAATGTAAGCGATAGTATTTGTATCATAGAGTTGTTCGCGGTGGTGCCACTGCCTTGTACCACCACTTTGTTCTAACGACTTTGTTCTCGGCCAGTTCCTTGGTTATTGTAGCTGCTTACAATACAGCAAATGACCGGCACAGAATTTATGGGCATCCAGGCGGAATTTTCGAGTCCGGTCTCTCCATCATCGGGGTTGTCAGTCCGTTGCACCCCGCGGCCAGTATCGTCATCTTCTTAGCCGACCTCAGCTTCTTCCGCCATGCGCCTCCGTTGTTTCCAACCTGCCAAGCCGCCTCCGTATTCCTCTTTGTACGCCTGTTTGGTAGCTTCGAGCTCTGCCTTGGCCTTCTTCGCTGCATCTTGGAATTCTCTCTTCTCAATCTCCTTGTCTCGTTCTGCCTTGTTTCGCTCCTCCGTCATGGTGACCAGGCGGTTCCAAGTTGGAGGCGGCGATAGGATATTCCCGCCCACCAAGAGCCAGAACTTTTTTGGAACCAGGTTTGGTCCGACTGCGTTATCCTGTGGCATTTTTCTTCGGACTCTCTCGAGCGAGGGTCTTGGGGTTGTCTTGATTCTGGAAGATGTGATGTCGCTTATAGCCTCATAGTAACAAATGATCCACATTTGAGTTGTGATCTTTTTGTGATTTAGCCCAACTTATGAGTCTGCGACCCAAAAGACACATGGCCAGTGGGGTGATTTGCAAACGCGTCAGGGCCAGCACGTCTGTATTCACTGACTGGCATTCACTGATGGCGAAGAGCATTGAAAAACGAATGATTGACCGCTTTCATTTCAGACGAACGTATCTCACGAAGGTCTCTTCTGTTGCGCCCTGTGCAGATCGCGCCCCTTCACAAGCCAACCCGTTGCTATAGCCGTCTCAACTGAGAATTGGTTCTCACAGTTCTGCGCAACCAATTCTATAACTGGCCTCAATGGAGGAAGACCAAAAAAAAAAAAAAAAAAAGTTGGGGGCAATGTCAACTCTGGACAACCCTTCCACAATCAAACCTTAACTCCTTTTGCGCCTTTACCCGAAGCCTACCACCTAGGTTCTCGTCTAGCCCAAGCCCAACCCGCAACATCGAGAGTCGTGACAAGAAAAGTGTCGTTTCCCGTTTGACTTCCACTCATAATATGGCATTTGATTGCCGTGATTCCACCCTACAGAGAGCCCATACGCTCCTCCACGCTGCCCATGTACATGGCAGGGCGTGGTTCAAGAATACTGAGCTCGCTGCCAAAACTCCTTCGTTCCTCTTCGAGGTCGAGCATCGAGGGTTGACGGAAGACAATGCTGTTGATTGTGCTTACAGGAGACGATGATGTTGTGGCATACGAGCCTCGATCGCTGCTCGCACGAGATGAAGCGGAAGACGACCGGCGAAAGGAGGTTCGCAGAGACCTCGGAGAGAAGTGAGAGGTAATGGATTGGAAGCGAGAGGATTGCATGTTGGGCGATTCTCTTATACAGCTCTTGGTATGTTCTTTTCTGGAGGGGAAGCGTAGGTGCGCGCGGCCGAGCGTATTGGTGGTTCCGTACGGGACGTTGAAGGAGTTTTTTGGCGAGACAACGAGCAAAACGGCCAGGTTACTTGCTTATGAGTGTGCGATTTGAAGAGAAGGCGCAGCCTATAACGGAAACGAGTAGTCAAGCGAGTGACGAGAATGCAGAACGGTTAGAGGAGGGACTGGAGACTCCAAGGAGACATGGAATGATCAGAAGTCAACCACCAGAGGAGTGGAGGCCAACGGCGAGATTGATCGAGTTGAGCAGGAATGACGGACTGACCGGCAGAGAGGGGACAGAGGCGGTTTGCAAGAAGTTATATCGAGACGGACTTTTAGGGAGAAGAATTAAAAACGCAGTATGGTGCAGTGACGGGCAAATGGCCCCTGGTCAGGAATCAATCGCAGACGAAGCGAAGTGGCAGAGGGAACGAAGGGAGCAGGGGTATGGAGGTGGGAGGTGGGAGGCCCTTAGTATGTTGTAAGGCACTGCGTGGAGAAGCGGGTTCGTCAAGGGGTTGACGCAGGCGGGATCAATGCGAGAGAGAGCATCTGGACTCTGCCTCTTTGGGCAATTGCATTGCAGCTTGCGGGGATCTTTGGGGCGATGGTCTGACAGGGACACCGATACCTCCAGACAGATGGCAACCTGGGAAGGGCGGATGGCGTGTTGTTCAGACGACGCAGAAGGGCAGGAGAAGTTGGAACTCGGGGATGGAGAAGAGGTTCAGCTGCGAGTGACGGTAGCGCACAGTACTGCTTAGTACATGGAGCAGAATAAACTCTGGAAATCTTGTAGTAGCCCGACGAAAGGTGAGATGATGTGCATACTTAGTACACTGGCTATGCCGTCAACACGCACCACCTTGCCTTGCTCGATGGGTTCGACAGATCGGTCACGATACGGATAGGTACGTACCTCAGTTGACCATCAGCCTTGTGATTGCCAAGGTCGGCAGAAATAGGCCTCCAGGGCAGTCAGTCTATAGGTCCAGCGCATTCCCTGACCGCATCTCAACTCTTTGTCACACTCCCCCTTTTCTTGCCGCGATGATGACGATGGCAGAGCTATTTTCCCTAGTCAACATCAGACACGCAGCGCCGTGCGTCAGCTTCCACCCAGAACGATGCACAGCAGGAGCCGCCTGGATTCGTTCATTGCCAGGCAGCACGTTCATCCAGACCATATACAGTAGGTATGTGCCCGTCCCGTCTCGTACGGAAGGTGAACTACCTAGAGGAAGATGAATGCCTAAGGAGTTGGTGTGGAGCAGAGCAGAGCAGAGCAGAGCAGAGGAGAGGAGAGGAGTCTGAATTCTGTAGCAGGCTGCATTGTGTGATCGTCGTTGGGGTTGGACTCGCACCAGGACAGGGGCTCCAAGACACGCTTTCCAGGGTATTCTGTGTCGGACCGCTGGCTTGGGGGGGGCGCTGGAGGCAGCACCTACGAGAGGTGAAAAAGTGAAACCCTTCCCACGAAATCTCGCCTTGGTTCCTCTTGCAGCCAGCAGCACAGAGGTTTTACCCACTACTACTGGCGACGTGACAGCGCAGACAAGTATCTTATCTTGCTTAAGGTCAAGCCAACGGATCATCTCCCGTCCTACTGCGTACACTAGACATCACCACAGACGTCTGAAACCCCTTGCTGAGCAGCTCGTATCTGTGTGTATTCGCACCCTACTTTTCAGGCTTGGTCGGGGGCAAAGAACGCACGGCTGTTTCAAGAGCACCCGCCAAAGAAACAGCCGATGTCATGCTTGACGGATGGCTGACGCCGGCAATGGCCAAGACAGCCCCGACTGTGCCACACATCGGCCATTACCAGCGGTACTAAAGGCAAGGTGTCTGACAAGTTGAGACTTGACGATGGCCGTTGCATAACGCACTGCGGACCCTTGCGCAAGAGCGCGTTGCGGTTGCGTTGCGTTGCGTTACGTTGCGCAACACGCAACGCCGCGAGGCGTTCGTGCCAACTGCGCACGTCCTATCCATGTTATGGGGGCTTCGAAGCCTTCTGGAAACTCTCTTCCTTTTCCGTGGACCGGGACCAGCCCGGGAGCGGCCCATTCAGTCATTGCCAAAAATATGGCCATCATCATCTACGGGAGGCAGAGGCCACCAATTTACACCTCACATCTTGTCTATCAACATGAAGGCTTAGATGGAATCGATATTGTCGGCTGCCGAAAAGAAATCACATGACCAGGTCAAGATCAAAGAGCAGACCGCACCAGGTGGTGGATGGTGCCCAGAGCCAGCTGAGATTAGCTTGACGAGGCGGCCAGAGCTACGTATAGGATTACAAACACCGTCACACTTGTCAAACTGCGGCTCCCTTCCCCGATCGCAGTCTATCGCAGCCCCTTATCGCCAGTGGACCATCACCCGCCAAAACAAAGGTATGTATGCCCTCCTACCTACTCTTGTCCAGGGGCAGGCTCGTCGATCCCCTTCACAAAGAGGAAAGAAGGCCGTGGAGCAAACAGGGGCCTGGGGGCAGCAAAGGACGGCCGTCCCTCAACTTCTTGGCTTCATCCAGTTCCCCTGCCCAAGCGACCCCTCCGTCCGAGGTTCTGCTCTTTCGCTGGGTCCCCTAGTGCCTACCAACACGGGATGGCTGGGGAGAATTGAGAAGTCGAGAAGGAAAAACAAGTAGAGGGGCGGTTATGAAACATCGTTGAGCGTGAAACGGCAAAAAGCCGAGCATCGAGAAGGCGCGACAGGACCAGACCAGATGAGACAGAACTGAGGGAACACGAGAACCGCGTCCCATTGGCCTGGACATGACTAATTCCCCGACACCCCGCGGAAAATCAACAAACCCGCTGCCCATTCCGTCGTACCTGATCAGTTCCATTCCATTGTATTCCAACTGTCGCATACGACGTGGAAACTGTAACAAAGTCACTCATCTGCTGCGGTTGTATCATCCGCCGCCATTCCAGCCTCAAGAATTGCGATACCTTCGAACCTGGGCACCCCCGATCTTGACAAGTCACCAGACGGCGCACGACAGCGATAGGTAGATCGCAGATAGAAATCCAAAGCGAATAACTCTCTTTACATCTCCCCATCTTCGGGTTATGCAACACGTCCTGCCATACTGGAGGCCTGCCAAGAAAAAATCGAGAATATTGGCGATGGACAAAATGTGTCGTCACCACAACAATGAAGTATCACATTTCAGGCAGATCACGACACAGCATGTGTTTTCAACTGTGTAGCTCGCACCTCGGCTCGGCTTTCTTCGCCTGCGGCTGCACGACCAAGAATTTCGACTGACTCAGACTCTTGACGAAAAAGAGTCTCTCTCGTTTCCTCGATGCTCTCGTCATTCATCGGATGAACGAGAAACTCAACTCCACTCTCCAAGCCTGATCGCGACGTCTGAGCGGTAGATGCTCGAAAAGAAGGGACCTCTGCGTACAAGAAATGAACTGAGTTTGGCCACCACAACAGACTGAAAATCTCGACAATCTTCGCGTCGGATGGCCCTGACCATCTGCGCTAGATGCGATGGAACCTGGTTGCCGGGTGCAAATGGAACACTTGATGAAGTACGAGTTCAGGGCGCTTTCTTTAAGATTGTCAATGCTAGGCTAAGTGGCTCCTTTTCGTACAGCATCTTACTAAAGTTGATATGAGCCGTGTCTTGGGTTCGTAGGGCCCTCTCTATCATTCAATCGTTACCTTGGCTGCAACCAGGCCACAGCAGGGCCCGGATGCCTCACCTAGACCCAGAAATCCTTTTCCAGAACCTGAACGCCATCGCTTGTTGTATTAAATGCCAGGAGAATTGACCCAAGATCAACGACAATAATGAATATAAAGATTTCACAGTTCGATTGGAAACATCACCGGTTCCACTCAGACTTGCGGACCGATTTCCTAACCGTTGCGCTGCGTCGAATACTCTCCAGCCAGATGGAATCGTCCAGCATGTTGCTGACCTGTGCGGGGCTGACAGGACTTTGGACTGGGCTGACCGCACTCCCACGTCGGCTGCTTTGGGCTGATGATTGTCCACCTTCTTGAAGCTCAAAGCTGAAAGCTGAGTGCGTCGAATTATGACCTGGTGTTGATATCCCAGACCGTGGAAAACTCAGCGGATGTTGATAGTCTGCGTCGTGGGATGCCACGTCTGGCCCTGGTGTCCAACTCTTGTGGGACGACTTGTTAGCGTCCTCCACAGTTAGAAGTGCAGACCTCATTTGACCAGTTCCAGCTACTGGAGAGGACTTTTGCCGGTGCTCGTCGTCATCCACAAGGATGTGAGGGATGTCGAGTTGAGGAATCGCTGTCATTCTCGCCGATTTTCTCAGGTCGATATGCTTCTTGAACTTCCGCGTCCAGTAGCTGAAGGCACGAGAATTAGTTGATCGTGTTGAACATCTACAGGTTAAGGAGAAGTGGAAACCTACAGGGTGTCGAAGAATCCCAGGACAATTCTTCGACGAACTTCTTCCTCGACGCGCTGCAACCGGGCCCGCCGTCGAAGGAACTCTTCCAGCCTGCCTACTTGTTAGCTATATATGCTATCGAGTTGATGAGAGGTCACCTACTTCAGGCTCTTGCTGTCATTGATAATGTTGTAGTGGGCCAGAATCATTAGAACAGACGTAAAGGAAATGCCCTTATCAGGATCTGCCGAGACCATGACCTCCTCGAAGAATATATTGAACCGACGGCGCCGTTCACGCACTTTATTGACATCGATCTGGGCCAAACGTCTGTTCAGCCGTTGAATATCGATTCCTGCACTGTAGTTGCTTGCTGAGGCGATTGACATATGTCGTGCTCCGGAGGTTGCGGCGTCGTTGCGTACATCCTCTAGAATTTGTCTGACTGAGTCATCGGCATCGTAGATGCGCATCTCAAACACACCAGAGAGTTCGCCTAAGAGACGAGGAAAAGCGTCTTTGCTGATAAATCCGGTACCA